GTATTGTCGGTCCTAGTTGCTTTGGAGAGATCTAATACCAGTCGACGCATCGTCGTACGCTAGCTATCTAGGGCATGCACGCATAAAGAAGCCTTTTCGATCCCCAAATAAGTGGGAAGTGGATGTGCAGTTATAGCTGATTTTTGCATTTCCAAACTGCCCTTTCTATATTTTATGTTTAAGGAAAATCTTATATTTTGCTATCCTATTTAGAAGATTTTGTATAGGACAGACACAATTTTACAATGGGTGTTAGATATGCCCTATATTTCGTAAGCGGCATTTATAAATGCACAGATGTGGTGTTGTGTGAATAGATATTTCACGGTATTCAAAATATCTTATATGTAGAAACTTTTTAACACCAAAATATACCTTTGCTTCAAGTTTCAAGCAGACGTAATTTGCAACTAAAAGAATACGAAAAAATACTACTATGCATGCTTTATGTAGTATATGGGAATTTATTAAGACATCTAGACACTGCACCCCTTTCAAACTGGCATGATGAGTAACGACCCCCAAAACCCTTTTCCTTATACCTCTACGACTGCAGAGGCAAATCCATCATTTCGATAAATACTGTTAAGCGCATTCCTACCCACCTCTGATTTTTCCGTTTGACGCTTCAGAAGAATACGCCGTTGGTTCTGTTCCACATCAGTTGCATAATTTTATGACCACTACATCACGGCCCTCTAATGGCGCAGTAAATTTGCGATTTTTGGAAGGATTTTATACAGTAAGAAACCTCTTGTTCCAGTGATCGCTTCTTCTTCCGAATTTCATACAGTATTTAGGTGAAATGCTCTACCGGCAGGTTGGGTTCAAAAATATTCGCGAATTTAAGAATATTTTTAGAACCAAAAGATACCCTTTGTTCAGGCATAAAACTCGAAGAAGAAACTACGAGTGAACGTTTTTGATGTTCTCTTGAAAATAAATTTCACTTTATAAGGAGATTGACAGCCGATTCAATAGATTCATAGTACGTAGAGAGAAAATGTGTATTGGGTCTGGTTTTTGCATACGAACGGAAAGAGGTTCACTCGAAAAGCGGCATCTAGATTTCACAGAAGTTTCTGGAGATTATGCTGCACTGCAGTTAGAATTACACTCTTGTCTAAGTAATCTTTTGGAATAGGAAATGCGTTTATTATTTTAGTTAACATTGTATAGTAAAAGTAGTAAACATTCCAAGTCGATATAATGAAATAAATGACGAGATTCTACGAAAATAAGCAGAACCATGTTCGTGAATTTTCAAGTTGGTTGCACCAACCTGTCCTCAGGCGAAAGTGAGATTGTGAAAAGATGACGGCTTATTGTGTCCTGGAGTTCACTGAGGAACCCTTGTCATCCTTCGTACGACAAAACATATTTATGCAGAAGGAGGCGTATTGACAAAAGAGGAAGACCGCAGTGGCCATTTCTTACTTAATAACCGTCGTCAGCTAGCCAAGTCGGAGAAGAAATTACGTGTAACCTGACAATTTATGCACAAGACAAAAGACCTATGGATAAATGGAAAAGGGTAAACCCAGGAAACGCTTAATGACCAAATACTCAGTTTCCGAACCTTTGTTTCTGATAACCTAGGTTTGATTATATCCACTTAATGACGGCTAATAATCCAGAGATGACCTTTCCAATCTGTCTTACCTTCATCCGTTTTCCCTCTACCATAGGGAAATCTTGTTAAGTAAAGAGTATAACGAAATAGAGTCTTCGGCACGAGTCTACTCACGTTCAATTCAAAAGGTAATATCAAGGATTGGATAAAATTCCATTAAACCAAAAACCTGTTTAATTACTCACACAATGAGCAGGAAGGGGTATTTGGTGATGTACCTCTCGTTGAGCATGGGTGGATACCAGAAGCGTACAAGTGTGCGGAAAGTAGCTCCTTTCGGAACTCCAGACCGCCCTGGGACACTGAAAGTCCCATGTCGCCCTTCGGGGTCAAGGGTGACGCAACGCAAAGCACTGAAGGGAACCCACTGTCCGTTCTTGCTGATTGTACCTCTCGTGGTGGGGGGTTGGAGGAGGAGGAGTGGAAATCCCAGCGGTGGCTGGTCAAAGAGACGCAGGCGGGAGACTTCATGAGTTTCGCGGGATTGTTGTTGTTTTGCTGAGGGTTGATCGGCCGCCTCTTCTTCGTGGTTCACGTCCAAGGCTGCTTCCAGGTTACGTTTTCTCCTCACGAGTGGCCGCTCCAAGAGGAGGCTGCCATAGTTTGTTGTTCCGGTGGTGGGCAGACCGTTACCGGACGGTGGTAGGTCACAATGTGTCCAAAGGA